ATGTGTTTATTGTGTTCAGAGCCTTCCTTATCACCATTGCCCAGTGACATTTATGACTCTCCCCGCTGGGCTACTGGGCTACTGGGCTCAGGCTCCCACGCAGGTGAGGCAGCCCTTGGGATTTGGAGACCCATCAAAGCAAATGAAATTCCCAACTTCCAATCTGTTGGCCCAGCCTCTTCCATCACAGAAATCCTTTGCTAAACCACTTTCTGAGAGTAATAGTTGGCTTTATGATATTTTCTCTGGTTTTAATCTAAGTCTAATAGAAGAAATATTACCATGGTAATAGATTTTCATTTTTCCTAATAGGTATTTCTTTTCTAAGGCTCATCCTTCAAGAGTTAGAACTGCACTGCAATATGTTAGTGTTTTTGTCTGTTATTGCAGCAAGTTGTATAAACAGTTAATTACTTGTAACTTAATCTGAATAATACACGGAGCATTTGTCCTGGAAGATAGAAAACGAGATCCAGGTGGAAAAAAGTTAACTTAGGTTTCCTCTAAAGCAGGAAAATGAAGCACAGCCCTGGCTGGGGAAAAGGACGGACACTGGAAACAAAATTAGTCAGCTAATCAGATTTGCAGGTAGTGAGGGACGGTGTGCATGCCGCATAGCTGGCTTTGTGCTTCTCCTAATTGAATTTGTAGAAGGCTTTTCCTTCCTGTCTCACTCACAGTCCTCTTCTTGTGTCCTTCATCATCACTGACCCCATTCTCTTCCTGTCTCTCCTTAGTGGAAACTCAGATACTGAGACTGGGTATCAGGACTTGCCCCTCTCCCTCCCCCACACACCTATGTAAACCTGCCTGATTCCATCCGAAGTCCTAGAGAAAGTCTGGTAAACGAATCTAAACAAGAACTCCAAGTGGCATTTTTTTTCCCCCTGATGGTACTGGGTTTGATCTCAGGGCTAGTCAAACACGCTTCTACTTGAATCAGGCCTCCATCCCTTTTTTGCCATAGTGTTTTATTTATTTTTTCAGGTAAGGCCCTACATTTTGTATTATGATTCTCCTAGTATGAGAGATTGCAAGCATGAGTCACCATGCACAGCTTATTTGGTGCGACAGGATTCTCATTAATTTTTTTACAAAATTGTCTATTGTTATTATAAAGGTGATATACAGAGGGGTTACAGTTACATAAGTCAGGTAAAGAGTACATTTCTTTTTGCACAATGTCACCCCTTCCCTCTCACCCATTTTTTTCCCTCCCATCCCTACCCACAAGTTATACAGTTCATTTTCAACATAACGTCTAGTGAGTACCATTGCTGTATTAGTTTACCCTTTGTCCCTCCATTTCAGAGCTTCCTTTTATCCTCTCAAGAACATATAAGCGAACAAGCAAGACAAAAAAGAAAAACAGCACCAAAGGATAAAACCATCTTGTTTCTATTTCCTGAAGTTAGTCTCATTCACGTTTTGTCCCTGCTGGCTTCAAGCCATGATTCTCTTGATCACTACCTCCTGAATAGCTAGGATTACAGTTGTTCCTGGGCCTGCCCCTCTGATTGGTGTCTTAATAAACAAACAAAAAGACCTCTTCTCTGTGTAATAATCATTGAGCAGTCTAGGGCTGCCAAAATCCCTCTTAAATCTATTGAAACACAGGAGCTGGCACACTGCTATAGAATAGCCGGGCCCTTCAGAAAGCTACAGTTCAGAAATTAGTTGATGAAATTGCTGTGTAACAAAAATATTTGAGGATTGTTGTTGATTGTTTTAGTGAGTGGAAATGATCTTGGGTCTCCAGGGGCACTGTTGTTGTTTGACAGTGAAAGTTGCTGGTGGTTCCTCAGGGGCTGGGTTGAGAAAAATTGAGGAGATAGCAGCATGGCTGCTCAAACCTAGGGTTCCTTCTGCTGAGTCCCCAGGGGCTCTAGGCCCAGATCTGTGAATGAGCAGCAGCAGCAGCAAGGAATTTCTTTCTCCACATGGAAGATTAAGTGTTAGCAGTTCCTTAAATGAAGGAAGTGATTTTTTTTTTAATATGTAACTTGCAAAGCTTCTTCATCCTTTGGGGAATTTCCTATGTTAATTTATGCAGTGTTAAATTTATGCAGTGTTGAAATTCAGCCCAACAGCCATCTACTTACAGAACCTCTTGGAACACAGACCCTAGCAGGACGGAGGCTCCCCCAACCCAAAGCCTTGAGGTCTGGAACTCTCCATCACGTCATATTGCATAGCTGTAATAGACTAATTCCACAGAATATTCTAGCTATTCCTTCATCTGTAAGTTGTTCCATGTGATATTGCATTTGTTGAGATTTCTGGCCATGATGTGATCTTTTGTACCACCTCTGCCACTATTAGTGGCTCGTGCTGCAGTTAGACAGCGGAGTTTTAGACCCAGACCTCCAACTTTGCCGTGGCCCCTGATGAGTCTGGTCACTCCCGAATCCGCTTCGGGAGTGAATGTGGTTCAAGTGGGGTTATGTGCTTCATATTTGTTCATGTGGATTCTCAAGTATCTTCATGCTAAACTGGCCCACTGATCCCCAACCCAGCCAGGGCCCAAGCCTGTCTTTTTTATGTTGTGTTTTGTTTTTCAAAGAGACTAACATTGTTAGTATCTATATGATGTGACTGATAAATGGCCCATCCAGAGAAAAGAATGGTTAAAAGAACCCCCATGGTTAGTTACATTGCACTAGCACACAGCAGATTTTTTGTGGGGGAAGGAGGGAGGGCAACATTTGGAAAGAGGTACATTGTCAAATGGTTGTTCTCAAATAATGAGACCTGAGTTGTAGGGAAGGGAAAGGCAGGGCCTTGAAATGGTAATCAGCAGATACTTGGATAATTAAAGTTCCTGTTGGTATATGCAAGAAAATAGTGAATAGGTGACATGTAATACAAAATGGCCAAGTGGCTTCATGCCTAAGGGGACAGAGTGCTTTGTTCTAGAACCAACTGCCCTTAGATGAGTCAGTACAGACGTGCCTTTTATGGCCTCCATTGTCATTTAATAAAGAATGTTGGGACTTGGGGGGAGGGGTGTATATTTGGAGTTTACATCTGGGTGACCGGTCGGTCGGACCGCTGATGGCCCTGTGATACTGCCGAGCAGTATTTGGGAGTTATCAAGGATGAGAGCCACTCAGTGCTTTATTTTGCCAAAACACCACAGCTGGGTTTGAGAAAAGCCTCACATTCTGGTGTGTTCTACCAGGGAAGTTGGCTGAGCAGAGCCTCCTGCTCATCTATAGGTCTTTCCTGCACACATGGAGCTTTTGTCCTTTACATCCTGATGGACTGAATCATTATCTCTTTTCTTTGCATCTCCATGTGGGTTCTCTCCAGCTAGTTTCCCTGCCTTAAGTCTATCAGTGCTTTGTAGATATGGATTACAGAAACTTATAACCTTGGGCACTCTGAAAGAACCCACCCTCTTCTTCTGTGACCTATACTCTTGACCTTCCCTTCTCTGTCTGTTCTAGACATTTCCATGTGGGATTTCTCATCCCAAATTACCTAACACACAAACTCAAAATTCAAGTCATCCTTCTTGTTTCCAAACTGACCCCTGTCACTGGCTCCTCATTGGCTCAGTGATCTTCCCCTACCCCTCCAAGAGTCCACCTGCATCTCGGCTCTCACCTTCTCCTTTTCTGCCAGTATTGTGTTTGGCAGCTCTATTTCCTGTTCCTTTGCTTCCCATTGACTCCTCCCTGGTCCTCAGCCTCCCCACTCTCCTTTATTGGACCAACTGTCAGGTTCACCTTCATAAAGGTTTTCTATTGGGACAAAAAATACCCATTTTTTTTCACCATTTCAGTGGCATCTATTCTGTGCCCAGGTACTCTTTCTCTAGATCAGCTGATCATACACCTGTCTTCCAGTGGGGCTGTCTCCTTCCTTGCTTTCTGGAAATAGTGGGACTTTTCCCTTTCCCACCCACACCCTGGTTCTCTGACTGTTCTTATTCCCAGACAGAGTTTTTGTTCCATTTGAGTTTTTTTTACTGTGTGCCTACATTATTTAGGAAAACCAATCTTGACCTAAGATTTGAACCAGTAAGAACTGGGTGCCGGGATTACAGGAAGGGGAGGGCGTGCACCTGTGCTCTAGAGGTGGCATCGGATGGCACCTTCCCCCTTATGGTAATTTCAAAACTAAGAGAGAAAGGATCACTTTTTTTCCTCCTTAAAAATCCATACAAATGGAAGAAGAATGCCCCATGCCCCAGGTGATAGTTTACAAGTTCTTTCTACATGGGGGCATGAGTAGTGTAAGGTATATTAAGTAGGTAGGTTTCATGAGGTAGCCAATGAAGAGAACACCATGCAATATTCAGGCAGGAAAAGTTTATTTACCAAACTGCTGCCCCCACCGTTCTGGAGAGGCATGGCTGAAAGGGTAGACCCACCCAAGACTTATCTAGGCCAGGGACAGGAAGAGGTGTGGCCAGGTAGGGGAAAGGTGTGGCCTCACTGGACCCGAATGTGACCTCAGGGCCTGGGACCCTCCTAAGGTCAGATGGGAGATGTGACCAGAGATGGTCCAGGATGTGTCCTAGCAGGAAGGGGAGGTAACTGCTTCGGGGTGTGCCATTTACCTAGGTAACACCGATACTGAGTGGAAACAACCAAGAGGTAGGGAGGTGTCTGCACAGGGTCTGCATGGCCCAGGGCAGACCTTACAGGTAGCTTGAGGTCCTCTGGAAAGGGACAGGGAAAAGGAAAGGGGGGGAATGAAAGTGAGGGAAAGAGGGGAAAAGGAAAGGAGGAAGGAAGAAAGGAGAAAGGGAGGGAGGGAAGAAGGGATGAAAAGAAGGAAGGAATGGAAAAAAGGAAGGAAGGAATGGAAAAAAGGAAGAAAGGAAGGGAGGAAGGGGAGGGAAGGAGGGAGAGAAGGAGGGAATTCTATCTATCCCTTAGGATCCAGCCTTGCTACCAGATAGCTATTTGAAAAGCACCCTAAGTAGTTACTGCTTTTTTTCCCCATCCTCTTTGTGGTTGTAAAACTTGTGCTTTCAATTTCTCTTTCAGGGCATGATAGAGAAAGGAGGATAAAATCAACTTTCAGAACATGCAAAACTCCCTCAACGTTCATTCCAGAGGCGGAACATTTTTTTTTCCTAATGAGAAAATAATCCAATTAAGAGAGAAGAGAAGCCCCGGAAAATGAATTGGGCGGAAGCATATCATGTTTTGATCAGCAACATTTTGAGAAGCCAAGACATAGATCAGGGATCAGTTATCAGCAGATACACTGAGAATGACAAACCCCATTTATGATGAATAAAAGAGGAGGGAAGCCCTCCTCACCTTTTTTTGTACTTTCTATTCAATTTCCAGTGACATAAAATGTTTCTCCCCACACCAAACTCCACCATTGGTGGAGCTCCTCTCTAGGCAAGCTGGGAGGGGTGGAGAGGCTAAACTACGTGGCGCGGTGAGACAAGAGGAGAGCTAGGGATGGCACAGCTGAGTAGAATTATCTAGGCTGTGGCTTGTGGTCTCTTTTTTTTCTCTTTTCTTCTTTGATTATGTAAGAGCTTTTCATTTAACTTATGATGATGATCATGTAAGTAAGAAGACAAAAAGGAAAGAAAATGTACCTGTTTTACTGGAATAATGTTTATGATTTACAATGAAATAAGGCATTTTTATCAATATAAAGACAGCATTGGCTTATGCAACCTCTATCGTGAATACTGACAACTTCACTTACTATCAATAATAAATATATTTTCTGACAAAGACTGGCATGATAGCTTGGAGCCTCGTTCATTCCTTTAGCTGACTTAGATGGGTGTGTATATAGTAATTGATTTACTTGATTATTCATTTGCGTGTGCACCATACCTTTCTCTGGCAAGTTCGCCAGGGTCCCAGACACGCCAGTGATACTCGCAGCTTGCCTCTCCGATAGGTAGAATTCTGTAAGGCTTTACACATTTCACGAATCTTCCTTTCTTTCAGAAGACTTACGCTATCCTGCCTGGAGCAAGAAACAAATTAGTTGACCTTGGTTAGGACCTTCTGACCCTGTGATACTGTTATGAAAATGTTATAGAAAGAAAAGCCAAACCTTTCCAATTTATTGAAGCTTCCTGATTCTAACTCTCCCCTTCCTATGAGGATTGTTGGCTCAACCCTGGATTTGAGCGAGTTGAAAGCTAAGTTGAGAAAGTTCTTCCAGAAAATGGGGGATGGTAAGGTGCATGTTCTGTGATGTCACCTGAGTGTAAAATTCTTATTTCACTTTAATTTTGTTCCAGAAAACTAAGAGAAATGATTAAAAATACATGCTCTACTAAGGCACATCCATGGTTAGATTCTGGCTATGACGTAGTAGCTGTAGTGCCAAACCAAGTCCCCTTGCTCAGCCATGAAGAGGGAGCTGGGGAGGAGCGGGGATTGTGGCCACCTACATTTTGTCTGTCCCAGGAAGTTGGGGCTCTCTGCAGTTCTTGGGCAAGCTGGATTTGGAGTTGGGGGCATGGTAAGTATATCCACATGCCACATTTCTCTTCACAGACAGGATGCATCTGTGACAAGAGAGCTTCGCACGGCCTTGTCAGTGTCACTGGCTCTGTTCCCAGGTTTCTATCACCTAAATGACATCTTCACACATTTGGGCACACACCTGTGGGCCTGCTGTAGATTCTGAGTGACTGGAAACACTCCTTCTATCATTACCGAGCTATTCGGTGATTGCTGTCTCGTGAAGGATTTTTCTTTTCCTGTTGGGTCAGTTTGGTTGTATTGGTTTTGCTTTTTAATGATGCAGCATTGACAGGGTTCGCTTCGATGTGAAGGACAGAGTCATCAGTCACTCCCCAGCAGTGCGCCCACCAATGTCAGGATCACACCCAGGTAGCAGCCTGAGAGAATTAGTAGTTACACAGAAACAAATGTTTACATGGTGACTTGCTCTATAGTGTTTGCAAATCAGTCTAATTCACAAATTCCCTCTTACATGCTTTTGTTTTGCAATTTAGAGCCAAGAACTTGGCACGTCCCAGTCTGCTAGTCTTATCGCTGGCGGAAAAAAGCAGCACCGAGGAGTCAGGTGTTTCAAGCCAGTGAAGTCCTTGGGGGCTGTCAGCCCCTGTGTCACATTGTCATGTGGATACACCTGACGGGTACAAGAGGGAAGAATGGGACTTGGGAGACACTGGAGGTGAGGTGCGAAGCCTTTCTGGCTCCTTGACCTGACTCCATCCTAGCCGCCATCACTCTTAGGAAGACTGTGTGCAGCTCACAGAGGGGTCTGTTAGTTTCCCCCACTAAGTGAACATACCTTGAACCACATCAGTTTAGCTCCAGTAGAATACAGTCCCTTAGAAGCTGGTTAGATGTTAGCACCCGAACCAACATCTTGTGAACGTACACAAGAGAGCTGGGTTGAACCAGCCCAAAGTCTTGTTTTGAGAAGCCAGTGACTATAAGAAGCTTGTCAACATGGAAGGGATTTATAACCTGCTGACTGGGCCTCATTGATGCAGATGCGGACTGTTGAAAATGGAATGTAGCAACTGGTCAACTGAAGAGTTTTAAGTAATACTAGCTTAGAATTGAACTGAATAGCCACAGGCTTCAACTTCCCTGGACAGCCAGGAAAGTGTGGCTCTTTGTCCATCTTTTCTTCCAACCTGACATATAATTGTCTTTGCTAGAAACCCATATTTTCCCAAAGACTTGACCCTTTCCATTTTTTAGTTTTTTTATTTTTTGTCAGTTGTGGGTTCTTGAAGTCTGGACCTGGGCACTCAAGGCAAGCACTCTACTACTTGAGCCACAGCACCCACTTCTGGCTTTTTTCTGTTTATGTGGTGTTGAGGAATCGAACCCAGGGTCTCGTGCATGCAAGGCAAGCACTCAACCACTGAGCCACCTTCCCAGCCCCGAACCTTTGAAGATTGAAGAATTGGAGCAAAATTTCAGGAAGGAGGAACACCTTCAAAGGACCTTTTGTCCAAAATGATGACTATAGTTAATATATTGCGTTTGGGGGGAGGGAGTTATAAAAAGAATTAGACGAGCTCGGGCGCGTTCAGCTTTGTATGTCCCTCCCCCACAGTATAACCCCTGCTTTCACTATATTTGATGTCGGTATAATTTGTGGAGGAGATGGAGAAAAACAAGTCGTTTAAGGATACAGGTGGACCCCATGCAACTAGGAGAAGTACAAGTTGTCATGTCAAAAACGAACTTTACAACTTTGGGGGGGGGAGATTGGGGGGGAGGGACGGGGGAGGCTGGGAAGAGATGTGAAGGGTAAACAAAGGAGGAGGCTGCAATGCTTGATAAGAAATGTACTCATTATCTTGCCCATGTAATTGTAACCCCTCTGTACAGTATGTTCACAAAAAATTAAAATTAAATAAATTTTAAAAAAAAGAAAGTAAACTGTATAACCTTAAAAAAAAAAAAAGAATTAGAGCAGTTGAACAATTCAACATACTGTGGCTCAAACCATGTGAATTGAAGTTAGGAGCCTTTAAACTTAATATTCCTGAAAAGCTGGTGCTGGGTGTTAGCCATTCATTCATATGCCCACACTGCTCCCTTGCCTTTTCCCAAAAGTTATCTGTCTAGCCCGGCTTCTCTTTCTCCGCCGTCTTGATCCCCTCCATAGGCTCTTGTGCATGCTTAAACTTTTCACACCACTCATAGCCTGGCAGGTCCTCCCAAGAGCTGGGCAGTGTAGGAGCTCAAACGGCTGAATCCTGGGCTCTGCTTCCCCACACACACACACCCTGCCCGCAGCCTTTCACTGCAGTGTTGCTTGCTGTTACTATGCGATTTTTTTTTAACACAGCTCTCATTTCTTCTCCAGCCTCCTATAAAATCCATTCAATCTTCAATATTTTTTCCTCTTTTAGCAATCCCTTAGGTCTGTAGTTCTTTTAATTTACAAACTAAACAAATAGAACCTTAAGATTCACTCAAAACAAATTTGTTTCTAGCTCTCTATGCCCTTTATAAGTCCACTGCCTCAAGGAGTTGAGTTGGTGGCCAGGTATATATATATATATATATATATATCTCCAGAGAAGCAGGTGTAATGAGACCCACAGTCCAGACACTCGGGGAAATGGGAGGCCCTGCCACCTGCCGTGGCCCATGAAGAATACCAAGGGTTTAGCAGTTAGCAAGACCTCAGCTTGGTTTAAGGCATTTTATTGTGGGTCCCCCACGCTGGATCTGAGCCTTCACACAAGTACAAAGTGAAGACGGTTATCAGGTTTGACTCCTCTCTTGTCCCTTTGCTTTGGAATCACTGATAGTAAAACATACAGAGAACTCCAGGAATGAGACAAACATCCTTGAAGTGGAAGCCTGGCTCTGGATCAAGGCTGCACATGGAGATGGATTCTAATCCTAAGCAAATGGATTCAGTATAGAGGATGGAGCAAAGAACCCAAGTCTGCTCTGCCTGCCCTTCCTCAGCCAGATGAAGTCTCCTCCATCAGTGAAAAGAAGCCTCAGGACAATCCACTGTGTTACGTCCTCCCTAGATTCATAAAAAAATAAATTAATAAATAAATCAGAGCAGCAAGCTTGTGCTTTTCAGATGAAGTTGGAAATTAAAACTGTTCATTTCCACCCCACAAAGTCCCTCAAACCAAGTGAACTCTAAATGGAAAGCAGCTATGCCTGGCATTAATGAAGTGCTTCAAACCTTTCACGGTGAGCTTGATTAGGTGAGACCACCACACACTTCAAAGATTTCCCCATGCTGAAAACCTTGGCTTCCCTCCCCACTTGGCCCACCCACCCTGTCTCCTTCCTCCCACTCCTAGGAGAACCGGTTTTGGCTAGACTCATGGTCACTTTGCTGAGGAGATGGCTTTGAATATAGCCCTGCCTTCAAAGTAAATTAATTTCCATAATAGCTTTTAAATGCAAATGTGGGCCTCACTGGTCAGAGTTGGGCTGCAAGGGACCACTCTATTCTTGCTGGGCCCTTCTGGACAGCACAGAACCTGCGAGCTCACATTTGGGAGCCTCCCGCTGCATGCTTTCCTTTATCAGGTTTGCCTGTGACCAGCCTGCTGCTTTAGACTCACCAGTGCCCACAGCATGGGTTAAGGGCCATGCTTACTCACTCTCAGCCCCTTCCTGTGAGTATGGAGGATAGGGCTAAGGTCAGATAACAAGTCAAGTGCCTATTATCTGTTTCCTGTGCAGTCTAGGGGACAAGGTCGCACTGTGATCTTCATTTAGTAGCCATGGGCCATGTTCCCCAGCATCAAAGAAAGCCAGCCCATGCCTTTTTGCTTGGCTTTACATTTGTCATTTTTGTCAAGCCTGGAAAGCAGCCTGTGGACCAGAATAGGAGTTCTATGCACTTCCAACAGGGCATCAACAGGCTATCTGCCAGCTAACCTGCCAACAAGGGTTATTTTGCATTTCCTCTGGGTGCTTCAAACACCCTTTGCAGCAGCCACATCTCAAATACAAATCCCAAATAAAAGTATCCATTCCTCATGCTCAGGTGCTTACAACATGGAGCCTGGAAAAAAATACCAGTGTTGGGGGCCCAGAGTGTTAGTTTTTTTCCCCCTCTGGAAATGAATATAGCAGTAAAGTTGGACAGATGTTGTGGTAGAGCAGATGGGGACTTGACCTCCTGTCTGGGGTTTCCCTAACCATCCTGCATTCCCCAATATGAACAGTTTGTGCATCCTAATGCCTAGACACCATGCTTGTCTTAGCTTGGACCTGAGAAGAAATGGCTTCTAACCACTGGCATTGT